TTTGTCTCATATACTCTTTCAATTTCAACATTATTTAAATTCAATTTTACTTTAATATTATTTTTACTACCTCCAAATAACATAAATTTTGTTTTACTTTCATTCAATGATAGTTTATTAAATACAAACCATCTATTTAACTTCATGAGTTCTGTTTCCACTGTTTTCAGTAATTTCTTTATGTCTTTTCCAGAGCAAAATAAGTTTGTATCATCAGCAAACATCACATATTTTAAAGTATCACTGGCTGTACAAATATCATTTATATAAAGTAAAAATAATTTAGGTCCCAAAACAGATCCTTGCGGAACTCCACAAGTTACTTCTCTAAGTTTAGATTTCATGTTATTAATACTCACATATTCTTGTACCCTCTCCATGTCCAGTCTGATGTTCTGGACTGACTGGGGAGACCAAGCGCCTGGCATTTACCGAAGCTACATGGATGGAACCAACGTGTCCCGCATCGTGTCCGAGGGTGTCCGATGGCCCAACGGCATCACGGCCGACGACCACTGGCTGTACTGGACCGAAGCCTACAGCGACCGCATCGAGAGGGCCGACTTCATCGGAGGGCAGAGGCGCGTCCTCATGGAGGGGCTGCCCCACCCGTACGCCATAGCTGTGTTCAAGGTAACAACATGTTTATGAGTGTGTGTGTGTTTCAGTCTTGATGGATTGGGTGGATTGTTCACGCTGTATGCTGTGTTCAGAATGACCTGTACTGGGATGACTGGTCTAAAATGGGAATCTTCAAAGCTCCAAAGGCTGGTTCCCAGAACAACGAGCTGATTGTTGGCAGGCTAACTGGAGTCATGGACCTGAAGATCTTCTATAAGGGGAAGAACAGAGGTGAGGACCAGGCAGGGAGGTGATGATGCTGTCAGTCTTCTTCAGGTTTAAATAAACTGCGTTCTTGCTGTCGTCAGGTCATAACGCTTGTGCCGACCAGCCGTGCAGCCTGCTGTGTCTGCCTCAGCCCGGCCACAGGCACACCTGCGTTTGCCCGGACGGCGCCCCGACTCTAACGACGCCCAGCGGAGAGCTGCAGTGTCAGTGTCCCCAAGGCTACCAGCTCCACAACAACACCTGCATCAAGACGGGTGAGAATAAGCACGTACTGCTTCTGCAAGGCGCCGTGTCGTAAGATGTACGGACACGAAGCCTCCGACAATTAACAGTTTGCATGTTTGCATATTTCTTCGACTCCAGAGCACAGCTGTCTGCCAAACCAGTATCGCTGCTCCAATGGCCGCTGCATCAGCAGCATCTGGAAGTGTGACAGCGACAACGACTGTGGGGACATGAGTGACGAACAAGAGTGTCGTAAGTACTCAGCGGCGTTGCTGCCTTCATGACAGAAACAATCAACTGTTGCTATAGAAACAAAGCTCTTTTTTCCTGGCGTCCTTCTCCAGCCACTACGACTTGTGACCCGTCCAACCAGTTTCGCTGCGTGGCCTCAGGTTCCTGCATCCCTCTGGCCTTTAAATGTGACCATGAGGATGACTGTGGAGACAACAGTGATGAGGAGAACTGTGGTACGCATTAATAAAACTCTGTGTGATTCTACGGTTAAATGTGACTTTTATTAAAGCACTTTCATTGGTTAGGAAGACTAGAAAGTTAATTAGGTTAGGGTCTAAAATGGTCATTACACAAATATTTTAGTTTAGATTAGCAACGTTGTTTAACACTTTGATGTATTTCTCAGATTCTCATCAGTGTGGGCCCGATGAGTTCACGTGTGCACGCGGTGTTTGCATCCGCAAGAGTTGGCGCTGCGATGGAGACAATGACTGCAGAGACTGGTCAGATGAAACAAACTGCACTGGTGAGGAAGATTCAGCATCATACATGATGTCCCACAAAGTTAAATCAGAGAAGGTGTGAGCTGTAAGCGCTAAACAATTACAGTAAACTTCACAGTCATAAAATAAAACTACAAAGCTACAGCCTTTAACAGTGCAGTCATAAAAACAGAGCTAATTACACAGCCGCTAACCGCTAACCACACAGTTAAAGTCACAGAATGACTGCTAACACACAACGACTCAGCTGCAGTCACTGAAATTTACAGCATAATAGTCATAGTGTTATTTTGGATATTCAGTTTGTTATTCCTCATAATTCACTGAGGTAGCAGCTGAATCAGTTCCTGATGAGGACAAAAGGCTAAACAGTTAGCTAAAGCTAACTAGCTTAGCAGGTTCTCACTGGCTGCTTTAGTGAGTTTTGGGGTTTGCTTGTTACTTTTAAATTACAGACAGCCAGTAAATTGTAAGTTATTGTAATACTCTCCAGTTCATAATAGTTTTGTTGTCGTACATACACAATTAGAGAACGGTTATTATTGTTTTGAGGCTAGCTTGTATATGCTTGACGCTCACTTTATTAGCTATGCCTTGCTAGTCCCAGATTGGTTTTGGTCCATTTTGATATGACAGCATCACACGCTCGCTACAGATTTGTTGGCTGCACACTTTTTTTTTTTATCTGAGGTGCTCTGTCGGGTTGCTGAGTTGGCACTAAGCCCCCACCCCACCACAACATTAGACCACCAGCAGCCTGAACTGTGGATATTAGACAGGGTGGATCCATGCTTTCATGTTGTTTCTGCCAAATCCTGACCTCATTAGACCAGAGAACATTTTTCAATTTTTCATTTATTCTCCTCCTGCCAACCTTCTGCATGATTCAACATGTTATGTTAGTGTTCAGAGATGCTCTTCTGCATATTTTGGTTGTACTGACTGGTTATTTGAGTTACTGTTGCCTTCCTGTTAGCCGTTACCCTGTGACCTTTAGCATCAACAGCACATTTTCACACAGTGAAAATGCTGCTGACTGGATATTTTCCCTTGTTTTTTACTATTTTCACCGTTCTCTGTAAACCATAGACACAGTATTGTGGTCAAATCCCAGTAGATCAGCAGTTTCAGAGACACTCAGACCAACCAGCCATGCCAGCTGCAGAGTCACTTGAATCACGTTTCGTCCCCATTCTGATGTTTGGTTTCAACTTTAGCTAAAAATAGACATTTACAAAGTGCCGGGTGAAAATATATTTACTATATAGCTTATTCACCCATATAAATACATATATTAACATGTGCCAAACATTGACGTACATAAATGCATAATCAGTAGTGCCAGTAACAAAGTAGCTGTGAAAACTTCACATGAACAACGTTTAAATCTGTCATACATTTATAAGCTTCTCCACTCATTTAAACTCTGTGTGTCCTCAGTGGGCCACCATACCTGTGAGCCCAGCAGTTTCCAGTGTAACACAGGTCACTGTATACCTCAGCGCTGGAAGTGTGACGGCGATGATGACTGTCAGGATGACTCGGATGAAGATCCCCAACACTGTGGTAAGCTCACACAAGAGCCTGATGCTTCACCCCTGCAAAGCAAGCAGAGATTTCCTGTTAGCAGTAATACTTTATTGATATTTGTTATTAGAGGGAACTCAGTGTAAAGGCTTCCTGTGCTCCAATCACACCTGCCTGCCAGCCTCCGCGCACTGCAATGGCATCAAGGAGTGTCCAGACGGCGCCGATGAGAACAACTGTGGTGAGTGATCCCGTTGGTTTGGGAGACAGTTTAGCGGTCAGACCCTCACATGCGATCGTAACTATGAGAGAGAATATAATCATCTGACTGCTCTGCTAATCCCGTCTCATGTCTGATTTGTGTCACCCACAGATCCCCTGTGCACTCGCTACATGGAGTTTGTATGTCAGAACCGAGCCCAGTGCCTGTTTCAGTCTCTGGTGTGTGATGGGATCAAACACTGTGAAGACGGTTCTGACGAGGACGCCGAGTACGCACAATGTGGTGAGCAGCAAGCATCTCCACTGTGACACTTAGCATGTTTGCAGCAGCCCTCCTGTGACCGCCCGTCACCCCGTAACACCTGACCAGGCCACTTTATAAAGCAGAGGTGTCGTATGATCATCGTCCCAAACCAGGGGAAAGGAGGAGGCTGAGTTTGTTTTCCACTCACCCGTGCACCTGAACAGTGGATTGTTAGAGTTGTGCTTTGTGTTTGGATCTGTTTATCCCTCTTTAATCATTGCTTTGATTACTGTCGCACTCCCAACTTTTCCAGGTATTTCCTTGTTTCTGACGTGTCATTATTATGATGACACAGAAGGCTGGCTTTTTGTAACCAAATACAATAAATGCAGATGAATAGTACAGATGGGTTACATGGGCTTGTGCTGGACTGGGTGGAAAGTAGATTCCTTGTGTGTTTTCTTTCAGCCGCACCGTCTGAATTCAGCAAAGTGTGTGACATCTATACCTTCCAATGTGCCAACGGAGTGTGTGTGAGTCTGGAGTGGAAGTGCGACGGCATGGATGACTGTGGGGATTATTCCGACGAAGCCAACTGTGGTGAGGATGAAAAGCTTATGGAGAAATGCCCAGACCCCCCCACACACAGTGTTTACTATCGAATCATGTGGAACAAATGCGCTGATTGCACACACTGAATATATAAGTTATATTTGTACTAGGCATGCACGTTAACCG